TCAAATAAAAATGAGCTAAAAAAAATCCCTGAAATATTCACTGATTGCATTACTGTCATGCATTTGATCCTTATGCTGCCACCAGTAGATGGAGACCCCCATGTCATCCCCAGTTTGCAGATGAGGGAGCAGAGCCTGGAGCAGTTGGATTCCTGGCCAAGGCCACACAGGTGGAGTGACTAAACCCGGCTGTGCACGTGGTCTGGCTCCAAGCTTAGGCCCTCCTGGGTTCCTGTGGGAAGTGTGTGCTGGAGAAGACAGCAGACTGTGCTGCAGGGAGCAGAAGTGGAGGCTAATGTCAGATGCCTGGGGTCGTAAGGGAAAGGAAGTGAGGTCATCTCTAGAGACAAGGCTTGGGAATGTTTAGTCATCTTGGTAGACCGTGGTCTGAACATCCACTGTGGGAGAGTCCAGGGAGTTGATCACATGATTCAAAGGAATGCTAGCCAGCAGCAGGGGCCCAGCTGGTGCTGCCTGATGTGAATTTTGGAATGGAACTGATAAAAGGGGTTTTATGAGTTTCTCCAGCCACTTTCCGTGCACAGGGGACCGCAGATGAGCTGCATTGTGTCTTGCTGTCTTGCTCATTTCTTACGACCTCACACTTGATTGCAAACCTGGAAGAGCAGCACCGCATCGTGTGGTGATGTGGGGAGCTGTCTGTAGGGAGGAGGATAATAGGATCCCAGGGGGCCAGGACTGGGTCAGGTGAATGAATGACGGAGGCTCCAGAGATGGGGGAACAGAGAAGCCCACAGCTGGGGGGCCTGTGAAATGAGAGTGGAGTCTGGGAGAACTGGAAGGGGCTGGTAGGTTGGAGTGGGAAAGAAGCCCTTAGTGGAAATGTATGTGTTGGTGTTTACTTGTTAGGACAGCCCAGAAAGCAACGCTCACTCCCAGTAAGTGGGTGGGTAATGATTTGTGTCAGGCCAGAGGAAGGGGTCGCTGATTTCATTGTTGCTAAGGGGATGCTGATTTCATTGTTGCTAAGGGGATGCTGATTTCATTGTTACTAAGGGGATGCTGATTTCATTGTTTACTACGGAAGAAAACTGAGACTCTATAGGCTGGCAAGACTGGCCCCAGTCAAGGCCTGGGGTTTGCTAATGAGGTTGTATTACAAGCAGACCCAGCTTTCCAGAAACAGCAGCCTCAGGAGAAAAGAAATAAAGTCATTTTCCTTTGGAGGCAGAAGATTTAACATTGCTTAACAATAACACTTAACATTGCTTAGCCCTTAGCCTCAGGCAAGCTCCTAACTACCCAGCGCCAGGAATTGTCTTTGCCCGCACTAGCCAGGGTTCTGCCTTATTTTTGTGTGGTGTCATTTAGTTAGACAGCCGCCTGCTCAGGCTTGCTTTAAAGATGATGGAGTTCCCCAAAAGCTGAGGAATGAACCCCTAGATGAGAATGCATTTTATATCCATGTTTCCAAATTTGACATATAAGTCAAGGTTACTGACTTCACCTTAAAAAACTCCTTTGACATCAGCAAGCGGCAGACTAGATCCTCTGTAATGACGGCCAGTGGCTTTCCGTAGATGACCTAGTCCTATCTTTAATTGAAAAAATTAATTCCACAAATATTTAAACTCTCCTGTTTTTGTGATAACAAAGAACCTTGTGTTTAAAGATCTGTTTTTCCCTCACCCCTGGCAATGGGAAAGAGCAGGGAGCTACTGTGATTCAGTTAAGAGGACAGGAGAATCCCCAGGCAGGGATGGAGAAAACCATATCACAGGTTCTTGGCAGGACTGGCAGATTGCACACCTCAGGTGCCAGCAGGTCAGGTGTCTCCTCACCTCTACTTCTCCCTGGGCAAACATGGGCCCCTGGGACAGCACCCCTAGCCCAAGAGGGAACTGTGTGGTTTCGTTCTGGATCCCCAAACGGAGACTTGGGTTTGCCTCCCTCACTACAGCCCCGGTGTCCAGGTGCTCTGGCACATCTGTCTGCGCTCCATCGTGGCTTCTTCTGTCTGCAAGGCAGCCGCAGAGGCTGCACGTGTGGCTAATCAGGCCTGCCATTGTGTGTGGGAAGGGACTTGGTGCCAGCATTATTTCCAGTCGCCACACTGATGTCTCAGAGCTGGCAGGGTTTTGCCAATTCATCCGTTGCCCTGAAAGCTCCTGCACCACAAACAGCATCCACACTGTCTTTGTGACCAAACTCCTCCAGCAGTGTTTACTCCTAAGCAGACTTGTTTGGAGTCAGCCATAATGGGACATTTCAGGGCTAATTAGGGAAAATAAACAGGAACTGGAAACCTACAGGCCTTTGTCTTAATAGCTGGTACTCTGAGCACATCATCTGATCAGAAAACACCTACTGCTTGCTCCCTTCACCAAACAGCATCCCAAGGACAGACTGGGACCATGTCTACCTCCATATCCTCGGGGCCCTCTCTACACCGCAAGTGATCCCTAGAACAGGGGAATTAATAAGGGAGTGAGAGTTAGAGAACTTTAAATGTTATTTCCGTGTTTTTGATTTACACACACACACATAAACACACACACATACATACACACACACATAAACACACACACATACACACACACATAAACACACACATACACACACACATAAACACACACACATACACACACACATACACACACACATAAACACACACACATACATACACACACACATACACACACACATAAACACACACATACATACACACACACATACACACATACACACACACATAAACACACACACATACATACACACACATACACACACACATACACACACATAAACACACACACATACATACACACATACACACACATACACACACATACACACACATACACACACATACACACACATACACACACACAAACACACACACATACATACACACACATACACACACATACACACACACATACACACACATACACACACACATACACACACATAAACACACACATACATACACACACATACACACACATACACACACATACACACACACATACACACACATACACACACACAAACACACACACATACATACACACATAAACACACACACATACACACACACATAAACACACACACATACATACACACACATACACACACATACACACACACATACACACACACACATACATACACACACATACACACACACATACACACACATAAACACACACACATACACACACATAAACACACACACACACACACACACGAGCATTTTCTAAATTCAGGATGCAAGCTAGCCAGGAAGACATTAAAATGATTTTTTTCCCCTCCTCTCTCCACTTCCCCTAAGAATTTACTCCTTTCTTTGCCTTAACCACAATTTCCATAGACTTCAACAGTGAACACCGGAAACCTTATATTTCAAATGAGTTTTGGAAATGACTCCATTTTTCAAAATGAAAACAAAATGCTAAGCCAAGGGAAAAAAAAAACAGGGGCAGGAAACTAAGCAAAGATGAGGGGGAAAAAACCTTACATGATAACATATAAAGGAAACAGGGAGATATATAAAATACAGCTGCATCAAACATTTTAAAGCCTGTACTTCCTATATCTGACCACGGAAAATGTTAAAAATTGGTGCCCTGGTAAATATAAGGCTTTATTGTTTTTGAACACAAACATATTTTCCTTGTGTATGTGGGGTGCATGTGTGTGTGCATGCACAGGCGTGCATGCGTGTGCACGTATGTGCGTAAATACACTTATGTGGGTGCACACACATCTGTTCATGTGCAGGTAGGGCCTGAAGCTGGCATGGGGGGTTCTTCCTTGAAGTCCATCTTCCTCTTTAAGGCAGGGTATCTCAGCTGAGGCCAGAGTTTGCAGTTACAGCTGGTCTAGCTAGCCAGCTCCCTCAGAGATCCTCTGCCGTAGGAGTGGAGCAACTTCAGGTAGGACACCACCCCACCTGCCACTTTCCTGGGTACTGGGGGATCTGAACTCTGGTCCTCATGCTAGATGCTTACGTGGCAAGCACTTTAAACAATGTGCCATCTCTCCAGCCCTAACATACTTTTCCTAAGAACAGAGGGCCACCTAGGCTGTGGTTGACACAAAATTCAGGATATTATTTTTGACACTTCACCTGCAGAAGTAGAGTCCACATGTCACTCAAGAGCAACTGCATCTCTGAGTAAACCGCTCTGCAGCTCAGCTCCCATGACAGCGAAGCCTCGTCTGCCCCCTCTAAGGTGAGACTCAGTTATTTCAGGCTGGTGGCTGGCATTAGCTGTTCTTTGTTCCTTTCTGAGATCACGAGTGCTCACACTCACAACTTATCAGACTCCCATGGATGGGGGCTGTAAGGCATCTTGGAAAGGTCCCTCTTTGTCATGTGCTCCTGACTGTAGACTAGCAAGACTGGACTCTACCACTCAGATAACAACCCCAACCTCTGTGAATTGTATCTCATTTTCAGAGGTGTCTCCTTACAGCATACGAGGATCAAGTTAGGTCAGCTTGGCCAAGCAAACTTTTCCCACGAAGTTCTTTCTGTTTCCCTACTTATCTGGGCCTCTTAGCAACATTCGCTCACTGCCTGGAGGACAAGTCAGTTTCTGAAACACCTTCCAGGCTCACGTTTCTTTCTTGTTCTTTGACACCTCCCTGAAGCTCCAAGGTTAAGACCCACCTGCCCTTTCTCTCAGGAATCTTCTAGGACACAGGATTTACCATTTTATTGTCTCTAAGCTTGGTGCAGGATGTTCAATACCATTTTTATAGCAATGGCTTAGGGTTTCCATTCAGTATCCAATATTCTTCCTGACATGTTCAATTGCAGTGATATACTATTTTCTCCCTTTAAAAAAGAACCCCCAAGTGTTCCAATTATTAGCACAGTTGTGACGATGGCAACGGGGCCGCAGCAGACGGCACTACGGCAAAACTCTAACATATTCCCCATCTCAAAGCCAGATTTCTAGTTCACACAGACATCTCTAAAGACTTCATTTGTGGATGAGCTGGGGATGGGAGACCCCTCTCCACCCTACCTGGGTAAGGACGCATACTGCCTCTCCATCCCTTCAAAGCGGAGGTTGTGTGTGCTTCCATCTGGACCCTTTCCAGGCACCTGTGGAGAGAGGAGTAATTAGAGCTGAGGATCCATTATACACCCCGGTTACTGACAATGCATCTCAAGATTATAATCAGTGCAAATGCTGCTGCAGCCTGCCAAAACTCCAACCTGGGGAAAGCGAGCAAGCACTCGGCATTGCTACGGGCGGCAGCGGTGACCAAGCTACAGGCGTTGTGCTTGACAACAGTCACTTCTCCCTAAAAGGGCCACTGCCAAGTCAGCTCCTTCCCACTTCCACGGCCAGGAATATTCTATAGGTGTTTTCTCTCCTTTGCCAAACTGACGTTAGTTTTTTAGGGGAGATTTAGAATTCTAAAGAAACTGAACCAATGGCATAGTGAGTTGGCTACCCTGTGCCTAAGGTGCTCTTATTTTCGGAAGGGACATGTCTTACAATTAATGAATCAGTATTGGTGTGCCACTGTTAACTAAAGTTCGCAGGTTATTTATATTTTTATTTAATGTTCTTTCCGAACCCAGGATCGCATCTCAGGGGTCATACCCTGTTTAATCACATCGTCTTGTCAGAGGCTCCCCCCTCTTGGTTCTGTTTAAACTTTAGAAACACAAAACAATTATCCTGTGTGCATGTGTTCGTGTGTGTCTGCATGTGTCCTGCTGCACGCAGAAGGGTCAGGGACAAATTGCAGGAGTTCATGCTCTCCTTCTGCCCCTGGATTCTGGGGAATGAACTCAGGTTATAAGGCTTGCTGTCTAGAGCCTTTTCTCATGTGTCATCTTGATGCACCCTTGGCTGTGAGTTTTAAAAGCAATGGGAGCCTTTCTTCACTAACAGGAATTAATGTTAACTGAATGCTTGCTGCACAGTGGCTATAAAGCCTTCTCTGAACCCTGACCTTCATCTCATTCTGTCCCTTATGAACAACCGCTTGGAAACTATGAATTGTTTTTCCATAACACTGGTCCTGTCGATTTGCCCCTTCCTGTGTTTCTCTCGGCCTTTGAGGTCCTGACGTGACTAGATCCAGTAGGTTCTGAGAGTGTATTGGATTGCTGAACACAAAGACCTTCTACCTCAGCCTTCTGTGTCCATCATACCCGTCAGTGGATGGACAGACACAGGCATGGGAAAAACACTTGCCTGGTGGCTGGTGGCTTACCCATGTGAGCGTGCGCACACACACACACACACACACACACACACACACACCCCGTTGTGGGCCATTCATGTGCTTGCTTTTATATGCTAGGGTGGCCTTTGTTCAAAGGCTTGGGAAGGGTCAACTGAAAACTTGTAGTATAATTGAGTAGAGAGGAGGAGAGTTTGCTAGAAACCAGGAAACAACAGTGTCAAAATTGGTAGACACTTCTAAGTCATACTCAGCAGCTGAAATAATTTCCTTCTTGCCGGGAGTCTTAGTTTTCTGCTCATCTCTGCCTTAGCATTTTAAAGGGTAGGATGTGTGTATCCGCGCAAGGGCTGCCTGTGGGTTCTGTGGGGAGAGATGCTTCTGAGCGGATGTGCATTGCCAGGGAGAATAAGCTACTTCTGGGATCTAATCATCGCATGAAGGCTTTTAGCACCTGTCCTGAGAAACTATTTCAGCAATGCATGGATCGGAAGTGGTTAAGCTATCTTTCTTTAAGATTTTCATATGTACATTCATAACCAGGTCCATTTCCGCCTCCCGCTCCCTTTGTGTCCCCTATAACATGACCCCTCCCAACTCTTTTTTTTTTTTTTTTTGTGGTTTTAGTTTTGGTTTCTGTAGACAAGGTTTTTGTGTTGCCTTGGAACTCACTATGTAGACCAGGCTGGCCTCAAACTCAGAGCCTGGCCTGCCCCTGCCTCCTGAGTGCTGGGATTAAAGGCACGCACCACCACCAACTGGTTTCCTCCTCTTTCTTAGATAACCCTCTAAAGTCCTGAGAAAATGAGACTGAATGTTCAGCATTACTGAGCTTCCTGACAGATCAGGGACAGGGACGGCGACAGACAGGGTACAGAGGTGTAAACAGCAGAGAAAAAGAAGTGAAGGGTAGGACTATGATACCCAGCCACTTCTGGCTACAGGGTTTGCTGTACTCTTTGAGGTAGGGTCTCACTCTGCAGCCCAGGATGTCTTTGAACTCATGAACCTTCCGAGTGCTTGGATTATAGGTCTACACTACTACCCAGAACCGGCATGTTTAATTTTTAGGTTTTCTTAGGAAGAATTCATGTTAACATAGTATTGATGAATATTAATGGTGGATGTTGGGAAATCACCATGCTTATGAATCCTCGCATGGCTCAAGACATTCACAAATAAAGCTGCAATTTTCAGTTAGCACAGTCATCCAGAGTTGGGCTGGCCTCATGAGGGTAGCAGTCCATACTGTGGTGACTTGGGGTGCTACCCCTTTCCTGTTGTTGTTCTGGGGAGCTATCTCTCAAGCATTCTAGACTCCAGAACATGTAGCACAGCCCTTATCCTCAAGGCGCTTTCCGTCTCGTTGGGATGCAGTGAAAATGTGTGATGGAGAATCGTACATCCCGTCCAGGATGCTACCATTTGGAGCCCAGATGGAAACTGAAGGTATTAGGAAAAGCCTCATGAAAGAGGCAGACCTTGGGCCTGATTTCAAAAGACAGGCAGGACGTTTGCACATCAAAGGTTGTTCATTCTGTTCCTCACCGATTGGGTATCTCTCTGAGCGCCGCCTCTGTACTAACACTGCAGCACCGTGCGGAAACAGTCCGTGCAGAAACAGTCACGCAGTAAGCAATCACCCAGCACCTCTGTATCCTAATATACAGGAGGCCGTGGGTTCCAAGTGCTGAAGAAACGCAGCCCTTGTTCTCGAGGAGGCAGGACCTGCAAACAATTATGCCTTGATGACATCATGCTCGAGTGGAAGTCTGGGGAACTGAAGACAGCCTCGGGTGAGTGGTGATGGCTCCTCCACAGCTGAATATGAATGAGGAGCTTTTCTGGGGGAGAAGAATGAACAAGAGCAACAGGAGGCACCCTAAATAGAGAGAATAGGCATGCAGCAGCACTGGTTTTAGGGTTGGCATGATTTGGGTAAGGCAGAAACAGAGCATTGTAAAAGTGTGCTTCTTACCACCAACAGAACTGGGTCTGCTCTCCCTGCTGCTGGTGGTGCACTGCAGGGGTTGGTGCTGTGTGCATAACACCCTGCCCCCCCTTTAAAAATGGGGTCTCTTAAAGGTCTGGATCTTGCCAAGTAAACTCCAGGCTAGCTGGCAAGTGATCATCAGAGCTTCCTCCGCCTCTGTCTCATTGTTTCCCGGGGGAGTGTGTGCCATACCTGGATTCTTACAAGGGTTCTGGGAGTTAATTTGAACTCTCTTGCAAGCACTTTGCTTACTGAGTCACCTCCCTGGCTTCTGTGATGCTGTGTGTGTGTGTGGTGTATGCATATGCAGGTGGGTACACATGTGTGTGCATATGAGTCCAGGTACTTGTGGATATGCATCTAGGTGCATATGTGTGTACAGGTGAGTACATGTGCATATGCATTAGGTGCACATGTGTGTACAGGTGAGTACATGTGCATATGCATTAGGTACACATGTGTGTACAGGTAAGTACATGTGCATATGCATTAGGTGCACATGTGTGTACAGGTGAGTACATGTGCATGTGCATATGCATTAGGTGCACATGTGTGTACAGGTGAGTACATGTGCATATGCATTAGGTGCACATGTGTGTACAGGTGAGTACATGTGCATGTGCATATGCATTAGGTACACATGTGTGTACAGGTGGGTACATGTGCATGTGCATATGCATTAGGTGCACGTGTGTGTACAGGTGAGTACATGTGCATGTGCATATGCATTAGGTGCACGTGTGTGTACAGGTGAGTACATGTGCATATGCATTAGGTGCACGTGTGTGTACAGGTGAGTACATGTGCATATGCATTAGGTGCACATGTGTGTACAGGTGAGTACATGTGCATGTGCATATGCATTAGGTGCACATGTGTGCACATACGAGTCCAGGTACTTGTGGATATGCAGGTGGATGCACATGCGTGTACAGATGCACATGTAGATGTATGCATTGGCAACAGAGGTTGACAGTGGGTGTCGTCCTTGACTGTTCTTCACCTTATAATTGACACAGGTCTCTCGCCTGATCACAGAGCGAACCAATTCAGTTAGTCTAGCTAGGCAGCTTGCTTTGGGAATCCCCGTGTCCGCCACAGAGTGCTGAGGTTAGGTGTGGGCTGCTCTCCCTGCTTGACATGTTCCTAGAGGCTGAGGATCCAAACTCCAGTCTTCCCACCTGGTACCCGCTGAGTTACCTGCCCAGCCTCTCTCCCCAGCAAGGCTTTGGGTTTATATCAAATAGGATATTTCGAAGATTTTCCCTAAACCTCTGCTCATACACATGATTAACTTCTCCCATTATCAGCACCCCCATCCACAGCGGGGACTATTATGGCCACCCTAACTGCATGGTTTATGTTAGGTTTATGTTAGGTATACATAGTGTGGGTTTGATAGTCAAATGACATGTACCTGCAACCACAGTCACACAGAATAGTTTCAGTGGCCCTAGATCCTCTGTGTTCTCTGCCTGTTCATCTATCTCTCCTGACAACAAGTATGTGACATCATATGTCATTGGGAATCTGTAAATTGAAATCATATGTCATTGGGAATATGTAAATTTTTGCCTTCATGGTTTTAACTTGCAGAATGTCAAAAGTTGGAATCATACATAGTGTGGTCTTTTCAGATTGATTTATTTTACTTGGTAATCTGCATTTTAAGTTTTTTTCCAAGTCCCCCCCCAACTCCCCTTGTTGTTGTGACTTGATAGCATATTTTCTTCTAGCACTGAATAATCTCCTTCTTTCTGAGTGTACCACTGTTTATCCCTTCATCTATGGAAAGGCTTCTTGGTTGCTTCCAAGTTTTGCCAATTACGAACAAAGCTTCTGTAAATATTTGCGTGCGGGTTTTTTGTATGGACGTAGGTTTCAACACCTTTTGGTAAATACTGAGGAGGGCAATTGCTGGATCATATGGTTAAGACTATGTTTAGTTTTGCAAGAAAGTTCCAAACTGCCTTCTGACATGGCTGTGCTATCACGGTCTCCCTTCAGCTCCCCAAAGTAGAGCTCCTGTCCCGTACTTCTGCTGTAGTGTACGGTGGTGCTGTGTTCCAGTCTTTGGCCATCCTGACAGCTATGCCTGGTATCTCATTTTAACTTGCATATTTCCCATGACTTATGATGTTACATACTCGGTCGCCACTTGTGTATTTTTTGGGTGATGTCAGTTAACATCTTCGGGTGATTTTAAGTTGTTCATTCTGTATTGCTAGTTTTGGTCATGTGCTTGCAGATCTTGGCTGGCAGTCATTTATTGGATGTGTCTCTGGCAAGCACCCTCCCCTGTCAGTGGCTTATCTTTCCATGGCCTCACTAGCGTCTTTGCCAGATCAGAGATGTTTAATTTTAACAGAGTCCAGCTTACTGATTATGCCCTTCACTGGGCTGTGCTTCTGGTGTTATTTCTAAGATGTGACCACTTAGGTCACTGTGATATTCTCCCGTGTTATTTCCAGGAAGCTCGACGGTTCCCACGACTCCTCACATTATAGTGAGGAGGTTCCCGGTGGCCATCTGAACCACAGGTGAGCAGGGTCTAAACTAGGGGACTTTCCAACAGATTCAGTAAGGGACATAAGGATGTTAAGAAGGTGGACAGATCAAAGGGAAGGATCTGTCCAGAATAATGCCCAAGTCTTTAGCTTTAGCATATGACGGTTTGGTAACTTTCACTTAATATGATAAAAGAATAACAGGGAAGTTCTAGGGAGTAGGGAACTGGGACACTTGAGACATTTAAGGGAAAGGCCTAATTGACAGTTGCGACTTAGAAGAGATGCCTGAACTAAAGATGTAGAAATGAGAAGTACCTAGTATCTCAGGTTTGACGTCTTAGGAAAGAATACCCATGCCACAGAGCAGAGAAAGATGTGCAGTAAGAAAAGACTGTCAATAACATTCTTGGAAACCTTCATTAGGGGGCGAGCAAATGTAGCTGAACCAGAAGGATCTAAAAAGTAGCTGTTCCAGAAGGGAATCAGTAGAGAGTGATATTATAGAACCAAAAGATAAAGGGGGCGGGGGTAGACAACTCAATTGGTAAAATACTTGCATTGCAACTACGAGAACTGGAATCATTTATATAAATAGCCCAGCAAGCAGTGTGTGCCTATAATCCAGGCACAAAGGAAAGAGAAACAGGAGGATTCCTGGATCTTGTTAGACAGCCAGTCTAGTCCACTGCTGAGCACCAGGTTCAGTAAGACACTCTGTTTTAAAAATAGAATGGAGAGCTATTGAGGAAGACACCTAATTGCTGGTCTTTGGCCTCTGCACACAGAGAGACAACTGCATGTGAACACACACACATGCACATATACACCAGGCCAAATCCACCCACCAACTTCCCTGAGACCAATCAAGAGATAAGAACTCTATGAAGAAGGGTGAAGCCGGCGGTGTCAAGAGTAGTCAGAAAACGCACTGGAGGCAGAGGCAGAAGGATTGCCCCGAATTTGAGGCCAATCTGGACTATATAATGAATGTCCCATTAATTTGGGCTACAGTATGAGATTGTCTCAAACCAAATAAAATTCCAAAATAAGGCCAAGGAACAATGCTGTTAGCCGCTTCAGTGAGACCGGGAATGGGCTATCCATGGTCTGGTGGTGATCAATCCTCCTTTCTCACGGAGTGCTACCGTTAACGAAGAGCCCAGAAAGATAAAAAAGCAAAAAATAACACCACACACACACACACACACACACACACACACCCTTTCTTAGAATTTCCTTGCAGCCAGGGATTTAACTTAGGGCATAGCATCTGAAGAATGCAATAAAAACAGTGGTTGCCCCTCGCTGAGTATTCTGGCAAGAACGCCTGAAGGTATGCTTGATTTTCCTCAGGCTCTTTCAGCAGACACAGCTCGTTTCTGGAGAGGCTGTACTTTTTAATATCTGGCTTTGGAGCTGACAAAAACAGAAGTGGGCCTGGTGAGAGCAGATTCCTAATCGTGGTGGCTCCAGACACAGGTGACTCTCTAGAACCTAAAGGTTCTTATGGAAGCAGCAGCTCTCTCTGGGTGCTCTGCACTGGCTTGGGGCTTAGGAAGTCACCCCTGAAAGTACACTCAGGAACTTGTTCTTTAATGTTCCGTATGGTGCTTGCAAGATTGTTACTATGATGCAAAATCTATTCCTGCTTAACTAGAGTGGACATTGTTCTTGCACTTAGACAGTGACCAGTAGAGTGTCTAAGAAGATCCATGTTGGCCTTGGCAATGAGACGGTCACGGGCTCTGTTGAGAGCGGAGGGTGGGTTTACAGGGGATAGAATCCAGACTCGTTGATAATTCCTGGAGTTTCCCAACAAACCACCAACTTCTGGTTGTGCTGTGTTATCCTGTCACCCCCACAAAATAGGATTAATACTCTCAAGTACAAATGCATTCATTACCATTTCCCAAGCAGAGTAACACCCTGAATACTGAGAAGTCCACTCTAAGATGTGGTTGGTTAATGGAAATGATGAGAATAAATTTGTATTTCATTATTTAAAAAAATAGATTTAACTTTTTTCTCCCTAATTTATTATTACAGGAAAATCACCAAAAGATGGCCTCTGTTAGTGTTTCTAAATATAGACATCAACTTATTGCTATGTAAAATTTTTTCCTGTCTTTATTATTGACCTTTTTATGTGCTATTGAATATATCTCAGAAATCTGAATTTTAATGGCTATATAATACTGCATTATATAGATAAATCATAACTTGTCTAATCTACTCCTGTAATTTGATCTGTTTTTAATATCATGATTAGAAATGGTAGTGACATAGATTAGTGTGCTGGGCACAAATACTTTTGGAAATAGTTGTAAGTGGGGAGTAGGAAATGATAGCGAGAGGATTGCCAAAGAGACGCCAAGTTAAGACATTCCTAAGTCCTCAGGAAGTGAGGCCACTTGAGGAAGGAGTGAGGGGACAGAAAGCAGGCACGGGCATTTATAAACTCATTTCTCGGTCTGCTCTTTGCTTACAGAAACTCAGAAGTATTCCTGCTTGAAGAACTCCTTATAAGGAAACTTCCCTCATCACACACACAAAAAGCAGGTCAGTGGCTTTGATCCAATTAATTTTTTTAAGCACTTTATCTTACTTGAGATCATGTAGTGGTGTTTTGTTTTTAATATAATGAGCTAAATATAAACCTGATAAAAACAATCCTGATTTAAGCCATAACAGAAACTCAAACACAACAGTGCAATGTTAGAGCTCACGCCTGGATGCTGGCGAATGTATCTTTGGCGAATGTATCTTTCTTTGACTGACCCTGCCCAGGAAGTGAGGCATCTGACAGCTTTCTCAAAACATGGAGAGCCACGTGCTGTAGCTCTCTAGCGGGATTAGCAGCGCCTAGGACAAGCCCAAGACAGGGCTTGGGAGGAAGACAGAATCAGGAGGCTTTTAGTCCGCTGGAGTTCGCCCAGTTTCATGCACTCAATGTCTGCTGCTGGCTGGAGCATTAAGAGCCTTGTTTAAAAAAGCTATTAGTCTCTGCTCTGCAATGCGAGGCACTTGCTGCTTACATTCTGCCCGGTTCCTCCAGTTCATATGTATTTCTGGCTCAGCATTACCAGAATCAGCAATTTCATGAAGCAATATCCTAAAGAGGCCATTGGATCTTTCTGTCTCCCCATTTGCAGATTAGTGTAAGAGGAAATAGAACACCCCCACTAACATTTTAAGTAATTTATTAAAAACAAAGGAATAACCACATAGGATTTTCTGCAAATGTCTGATGATGAGAAGTGGAAATTATTTGAAGATTAAAATGCATCCCAGCCTCTGTAGGTTAGGACACATTTTTGTCAGCATTGTAATTGATGCTTCATAAGCCAATTTTCTCAAAAGAATTTAAAAGCCGCGGTGATGGAAAGGCCAAGTACAGTTGTAATGTAGCTTAGTCACCTATATATAACATCCTCATTTACAAAGATGTCTTACTTAGATCCATTACAAAAACTGAGTTTCCCACTGCCAGACACATCCTACGATGAAGATGCGAACTTCGGAAATTCCGTAGTTATTTAAGGGAACGTGCCTTTCGAGCCGCTATCATGGCAAACAGCGAGCAGTGCTGCACACTTCTTTTAATTCGATGACTCTTGCATAGTTACAGCTAGTTGTAAGGTGTTTACAGGAATCGTCATGTGAAAACTTGGGAAAAGTTACAAACTTGGCTTTGAACACCTCTAGCTTAATGCCACTTTGCTAAAATGTAACACATTCCGAGGCGACCTGAAGTGCAACACCCGGAACAAAACCAAGTAACCAAAATAGGGTGTTTAGTAGTTTCTCCTTGGTAATGGGAGTGTGTTATGCCTAGGCTACACACTCCAGAGAGGAACACACACTCGTTCAAACCATTATTTCTGAAGTGTTTGTTTTCTCTAATTTGATTTCAGTAATTTTGTTAAATAACCGGGTACTCAGCTTATAGACTAGCACAGAACATCTGCTAGTTAGAAAATACAGCAAATAATCTATTTTAAAAATAACGCTGGAGTAAGCCTTTTAACCATTCCATGCCCACATTTTCTTTCCTTACAACCATCACAAGTTAAAACAGAAATTCTTGAAGTCTCTTCTAGCTTGTATAAATTAGTAAAAGTTCTGTTGCATATACCTTGCCCACGCACACCTCATTAACACAGTAATTGTATATAGGTAATTATGATTTTATAGCTGAGTGACAAGATAGCCACATAAGCTGGAATCTGTTCTGTATTAGGAAGCCATGAACTATTCATTCAGATATAAGCGTGAAACCTTACACTAGCACTAACCACATACTAGCTGTATGTTCCCTGGGTCATGGTACCATAACCTGAACTATCTCTGTTAGGATTGTCTTTGCAGAAAATAAAACCAGACATCTCCTGCCAGCTCTGTTTGTGTCTGGGCATAAGATACAGTTACCATAGAAACGACGATTGTGGATACAATTTTACAAATTTGACTTCATCTCTGTGATGCATGTGGGCATGCCTGTGTATGTGTGAGTGTATGTGTGTGTGTGTGTGTGTGTGTGTGTGTGTGTGTGTGTGTGTGCGCGCGCGTATGCACCCATATATGTACCTTGACAAAAGCTTTAAGAGCCAATTCTGGCTCTGTGTCTTTAATTAAAAAGTCATGCGTTATTTCTCATTTCCTTTCCCCCATCTGTCTGCTTACAAATAGAGATATTGAAACACTTGGCTGAGACATCAAGTCATACTAGAGAAGACAAACGTCTGATGAGAAGATGGAGGGGGGAAGGTACGAAGAAAAGCATTTCCAAAGAAACCTGGTATCCACCTGTACTGTATCCTCCAGGGGCACAGTAGGGGTTTGTGGAGTTGGATCAGCCTGGGTACATACTACTGTGCAGCATGTATTTCCTAACTTTGTTTCTAATTGTGTCCTGGTTCTCACTGCTTCCTTTTCCAGCATTCTGTGAGGGCCTCTCACTCATCCAAAAAGAAGTGAAGTTGACCCTCAAAATATGTCCAAATATTAAGTGACATCAGTCATCCACATTTATCCTGGGTCTCCACTACTCCCTTCAGTTGATGAAGCGTGTCATTCGTCAAACCTTCTGGCATAGTTCATATATGTTTTGTTGGTGAAGACAAAGCACGTAAGCTTGAAAATTTCAGCTCCTTCTTCTTAATGTCGATGTTTTCTGTTTTGTCTGGGGACAAGATCTAGTCACTTCCCCCTACAGGAAGGGCCTTTGGGACATCTACAGTCTCCGCGGTGAGTTACAGTGTTGGCATTTCCACCTCCGCCTTTTCATACATGAAGAGCGGAGAGTGAAGACTGACTTACGAGACCTGCCTCGGCTCAGACAGTGGCGGGGCCAGGCTCTGAACTGACGTGTGTCTGCTTCCAAAGCCAGCATTTTTCCACTGTCTCATATTTTACACAGGGAGTAGCATACTTAAAAAAAAAATTCCTTTTCCCAAATAAAGGACTAAGAGCAGAGACTTGATCCTTCTCGGTGATCTTTTGCAGGCAGCAATGGGAAGGGGCTGTGAGTTGTGGCTTTCTACAGGCACCTGATTTATCACGATCTTCACAGCCGCAGCCGCAAACAGTGGTCTAGTCATACTCCTTTTACATAGCTGCAGGCGATAATATATGCACATGTTTGGTTTTTTTGTTTAATACAGCAATTTCTATTAAGATGCTATGTTTTATGAAATAGCCTATATTTTAAAGAAATCTTTAGATTATTATAGGTGATTACTGGTCTATTAATTCAAAGCCTCATCCTGGAAGCTTCACATACGCTGGGAGGGAGCCTCATTTTTGTGCCGTTGTATTTTCGGGGCCCACAATACCACTTTTTAAAGAGCTGTTACTTACTGAGTTAATCAAAGAGAAATGCCAAGCATGACCTCAGAGGAAGTTAACAGAGTGGATGAAGAGATTCTTTAACAACTAGTTAGTTAAGTAGTAGAAAAGATATTAACAATATGTTTTTCTTTTATCATTGGATGTGATGTGCACACGATGTATGTGGTTTTGTGTATGCACATACGAGTGTGTGTGTGTGGGGGGGGGGAAATCAGAGGACAACCTAATTTCAGTTCTTGCCCCCCAGCTTGTTTTCAGACAGTGCCTTTCTGTTCTTCTTTGTTGGCATATACCATGCTAGCTGTCCTGCAAGCTTGCACGAATCCCACTTCTGCCTCTCACACTCCCACTGGAGTGCTACCAGCAGTACAGACATGGCTACTGCACTGGCTTCCATTGTGTTCTGGGGATTTGAATTCAGGTCCTTTGCTTGTGTGGCAAGCTCTTTCCCCACTGAGCCACCCCCTCCAGTTATAACAACATGTTTTGAAGAGAGCTTTACTGTCGTGAGCCCTGTTCCATGTCATGTTTTGTTTAAACAGTCTCATTTTTTAATATCCATTCAAAAGTAACCAGCAACAAACTGCAAATATTCTTACCCAGAAATCAACTTGGCTCTGGAGGACTAATTAAAACTACCAGGAACCTTAATTATGTCATTGATATAAGTGACAAAGATTCCTATAAGATCCAAATAATTTATACCGTAGGGCAGGTTTTTCCAATGGATGAATTCCTGAATACACTGGGCATGATACCATGGCTCCGAGTGGCTGCCTCAGAAAGAATCTATCTAATCACTAAAGTTGGATCCATCTGACCTCTAATGCTAGACTCCGACAGGCATTTTCCACTAAATTTATAGTAATCAAGTTATTTTGTGATTGACCTCTATCCAAAGAGTTCAAGCACTAGAAAATGAATGAAGATAGGATGAAGTGGAAGGAAGAATTAACCAGAAGGCATTCAGAAAATAGATGTTCTTATGTTAAACTCTACCTAGAAAAACAACACTAAACTAAACAAAGCAAAATACACACACACACACACACACACCAACTCTATTGTTAAAAAAATGTTAACCAGTACAGAACATTTCCACTCTCTTTGCAACTCTGTCTTGCATGCTCAATAATTTTATCCCATTACATTTCCTGGATGCTGGGTATGTACTTCCTGCCATTTCTTTAGTGTTGGTAGCTTTTGCCCAGATCAGCTTCATGCCATAAACATTTAGAGGCTCATTAAGAGCTGGATGGGTGAATGAACAGAGAAACAGCAGTGGTCACCATTGGCCATACATATATGAAGGCACAAAAACAATGGAACATTAGTGGCTAAAGAAAACAGAAACCACAGGAGCTGGTTGTTAGATCATTAAATACTGATACACAGAGAAGAAAGCCCAGAGAGAGAGGTGGAGACCAGGAAAGGAAAAACAAAAACCTCCTGAGAAAAAGGCAGAAGTTGCAGAAGAGAATTGGAATTATGGACCCTGCTACAGCGGTCTAACCCAGCTCTGAGTGCACAGGTAATTCCGGCCCTAAATTTCTCTCCCTTAATCAAATTCTTCAGTCCATCAGAAAGCTGTTCTTGTACCAGGCTAGGAAATATGGACTTTGTTCTTCTGATTGGTTGCAGACATCATCTTGGTTTCAAAGTCTTTAAAATGTGATTATTTTAAGTCAACATTTAAAGTTAGATTTGATATAATCATTTAATTGGGCATCGATTCATCTACACAGAACTCATTACTGAATTCTTCAATTTCACCAACATAATTTCCTTCCAAATTATCTTTTATCTAGATGCTGGAAGTCCAAGTGCTATGAAAACTTTGCCAAAATAAAAAGCTTTTAGATTGCTAATGCTGGCTACACGGAGACCCATGGAAGATCGCTGAAGAGCAGTGCATGCTTGCCAACTGCCAGACCACGGCTGCTTTTCGCATAATTAATGCCATTCTTGCTGCTCAAGCACCATTTCCATCCTCTAATAATTTCCATTAATAGAGGAAGTTTCTGCAATAATTTTTGCATCTTGCAAAACCACAGTGGCTTCTAGACACCTTTTAATCAAAATAATGACAGTGGGTGAAGGGAGGACGGTTGGAAATATCACTGCAGTCCCAGCTTGCGTTGCTTTGTCACTGTTTGCGGTCCCTCAGACTGTCCTGAAGGCTCATTGTGTTGGCTGTGATTGTGACAATCAAACCTCCGTGTTCTGATCTGATTAGCATGAACCCCAATGAGTTTATTCCAAAAGGATATATATATATATATATATATATATATATATATATATATGTCCTTTAGACAATTTAACTACAAAAATGGTAAAACAAAATACTCTTTAACGTGGCAAACAAAGGATGAACAGGTGCAGACAGAAGCTCCATCCTGTGAAACAGGCTCATCTCACAACATTTGAAGCGGTCTGCAAGAGGAAGTGAGGGGCCAGCTGCAAATCAGAACCTCAGACGCAAGAGGAAGTGAGGGGCCAGCTGCAAATCGGAACCTCAGACGCAAGAAGAAGTGAGGGGCCACCTGCAAATCGGAACCTCAGACCTGAGAACTCACAGTATTTTTAAAATTCTGCTGTTACAAAAATCAAGAAATTGGCTCAGCATAAGCAATTATGCAAACAGATAAGAACAATAACCACTAATGTCAGTTCAGGTTTCTCCCCTGTGCCAAGAGATGAATACTGAACGCTAGTGGAGCAGCCCCGCAAGGTGGGTGGGGTATTGTGGAGCATAGGGTGTGGCGGCAGGTAGGACAGGCATGGAAACGGCAGCTGTAACACACAGGTCACTTTTAGTAAAATCTCCAGGAAACCCAGGACTTTCCTCCACCTGAACACAGAGACTGTAATGAAGGAGTTAGAAGTAAGGGGACAGCCGCTGCATGTCATTTTCTGCTCTCTTCCGGAGTCACCTTGGGTGCAGTTGAAAGGAAACATCAAAGCCTCATTCTTCTTTGCCTAGGATGGCTTTGAAGAACTTCACCTGCGTCAAATCCACTCGTACTTGATGGCTTTGTGTGGTCTACCTGGCGGAGGGTGATGGTGTCACTTGGGCAGGAAGCTCTTGCCCTGCACAGTAGCCTGGGGAGTGGGAAATGCTTTGGATGGGGGAACTCTGTTAGCGATCTTAGTAAAGTTTGAGGACCAGCTCCTTAAAATGTGTAGAAATGATATAAAAATGGTGTTTGTGTGTCTTTACAGCTCCTGATAAACAGATAAGATTGATCATGTGTGGTGTAAGCTGCCACTCTCTGAGGAGTCTGGCAGGCACTGAGGAGAGGCCATAGCTCAGGACTGTCTTTTGAGTGTTTATACTCATGGCGTCTGACCATAGGTTTGACAGGGTTGTTCACACAACTACGTTCTCTGTGGGATTAATACTGATTTTCAAAGTATCTGTCCTGTTTTAAAAAGACCACAGTCTTTTAGTCTCTTTGCTATGTAAATAGAGAACAAATAATATCTAATCTGATACCTCAATCACCAACAATTTTGCAGTAATAAAAGAATATTCTCTGTATAATCAGACTTGATGGGTATATTTACCTCTATCAAGAGAGAGGGAGGCATTCAGAGTTCAACATAAGAGTAGCTTGTTCTTAGAAGAGAGGGGGGCTTAGCAGGGCAGGTCAGGAAGAGAGTGCTGTACAGTACCCCCATTCTTAAGGTGTGCCCCAACCCAATTAATTCTAATTGAGAAATGCATGAAAGTATCTCATGGAACTGTGGGAGGTCTTGGCATGAGTGGATGGTGGTTAGGAGAGTAGGCATGAACCTGCCTCAACCACTTATCGCCCATGTGATTAAGACTCATGTTAACTTTGAAGCTTCATTTTTCTCATCTGCAAAGTGATTTTCTCATCCACAGATGGCTGTCGTGGATATTAACTGTATGATGCACGTAGACCACATAGTACATATCATGCATAGTCTACTTGTGTGTTCATGTAGACCACACGGTACATATCATGCATGGTCTACTTGTGTGTTCATGTAGACCACACGGTACATATCATGCATAGTCTACTTGTGTGTTCATGTAGACCACATGGTATATATCATACATAGTCTACTTGTGTGTTCATGTAGACCACACGGTACATATCATGCATAGTCTACTTGTGTGTTCATGTAGACCACACGGTACATATCATGCATAGTCTACTTGTGTGTTCATGTAG